TATATAAAGACGTCAAGGTCAGGAAGGTGCTAGATACAAAATAGGTATTTAATGAGTTTGTTAATGAATGACTAAATTACTGGCATCCTTGCAAACAAAAAGAGAGCACTTTATTTTAAAACACAAAATGTTCAATTTAAGGAACAGGATTCTAAAATTAAAAAACAAAAACACAAAATGGTCTGTATCTTGAACCCTATGTATCGTGCAGAGCCAAATGCATGTATAATCTAATAAAGTAATTTACCTAACTTTGACATAATCCGAAAGAAGCCATCTATAAATAGCTTTTGTGGCATGAGTCATAAATGTTCTTCCTTTGAAACTTGTCTTCTGCAGAAACCAGGGCAAAGCTCCACAGTGATCCAAATGGAAACTTAAAAAGAAACAAAGAGATTGCATTAATTCTTAAAAAATATTATCCATCTAATACTATATGTGATGAAACTGTTGCTTACTGTACAAAAAAATTCTGTAACAATTATCTACTGATACTTTCAGAAAACCAAAAGTAGGTATATGCTGAGGGAAGAAATGATGCACATAGTTCTAGTATAGGAAAAAGATTTAAATTTTTTTTTTTTAAATAGTAAAAAACTTTATTAGTGAGTAATTACAGAGGGAAGAATATGCCCAAAATACTCGTGGCAGCTAGAATTACAATAAATATTTCAGTGAAATAAAGTTGAAACAAGTCACTGTTTTTAAATGAAGTACTTTTAGAAGAAGTGACAAGATAATGACCTCAAGGAGATATCCTAAAAAAGGGCTTTCTTGTTCTCATGTTTTATGATTCAAGGTGTCTCCTTCCACTTCACTGCTTATACCTAGAGGTAGGTAAGTTTTTCACAGTAAACACTTCTCTAGCCTGTGATGACACTGTGGAGGGATGGCTTTGATGTAGATGTCTGAAATGTGCTTCCTAGTAGAAAATACTGTACTTTTAAAAAACCCAAATCTCAAAATCTGGTCAAGAATGATCTTGACAGTAAAAGTCCTTGAAAAACAGTGTTGTTATTAAAAGACAAAACTTACTGACTAATTAATAGGAGATCAATCTCAGCAGGGTCAATTAAATCAATATAAGGAAGAGCATCCATTCCTTCTAGGCCAGGGTGGATCCCACAGTCCAGCTGAAAGAAACAGGAAAAAAGATCACAATCTCCTGCACATTTTGTTAAAATTCATTCAGCAAATAGACAACAATCATAACTGATTCATTACCCACATAATCAAGATGGACTCCATACACTAGCACTTGGACCACAATTCTTATTAAATGTAGCAAATATGCCATAAACAATTCTAACTTCCCAAATTATTAATAAAAATATAGCTCATATTTAGGGCCACAAGATGAAAAACAAAAGACATCTTTCTAGATTCTTTTGGTAGTCACTCTAAGAATAAATGAATTCTTTTTCAAGAACTCTGATTATCAGAAGATGGTGGGCACTTTAAAAGTTCATAGAATTACTACTATCAGATCTGACTATTGTGAGAAGATAATAATCAGAAATGGAAAACTTCCCTGATCATGGTAATTTAAATATTTTAAGGCATTAGGGAACAAATTCCTAAGAGTCAGTCATTAAAGATTTACTTATTTTATAGGGCATTACTACCAAATTAATATAATAAATGACTAAAAAGATGACTGTGTTGACATATACCTGTTCTTTTAAGATTGGGAGAAGTTGGAAAGAAAGAGGAACCAAAGGAACATGAGTCACTGAACTATCTTTCTAATGCGTTCCTTAGAAACCATCTTTTCTACTCCCTCTACCTTTCAGGCTTAGAGAAGCAGAGTGACTTGTCTGAGGCCAGAAGCCCTAATGCTACTTGGGTATCCAAGCTCCCAAGCCAAGGCTCGATTACCACATGCTGCATGGGGATGGCTAGAGCTCTGCACATGTCTGGGACAGTTTCTTTCTTTCTTGGGGCAGATCTTTCACTGGGGCCTGGGGCAGTTAGGTTGGCTCAACCCTCCAGGAGTGGAAGAGGGACTTTGAAGAAACAATAGTTCAGCAGATCTAGTTGATAATTTTACAATCTTAGAATATATCTTCTTAATTTACTTAGTCTTTTGTCAAATTGCTAAGTAGAAATGTATATTAGTTTTTCTCATTAACATTATACAGCACAAATTACATGTACTATAACATTTTTCTGGGAGCTAAACAGATAATTAGTCTACTAGAAAAGACCTAATACCCAATGTAGACAGAACCATACTATTAACCCGGCTACAAAAATAATAATTACCATTATTTTTCTTCCTTTGAACTCCAGAATAATACATGATCTTCCTACTTCTTGCCCAGCTCCACTGTAAACATTCAAGGGGAGAAGTAAAAATGATTAAAAAACCAAATCCAAGCTCAATAAATTCAAACATTTTTACAACTTAAACTATGTATGACACAGTTTGATGACAGCATTCACTTAAAAATTTGGGGGCAGATGACAGTTCTATAAAATTATAAAGACAGGGAAGAACAGTGTCAATGTGGGAAAAGATAATAAGTGATCCTTGGAAGTTCAGGGAATTTGCAGTTGTTAAAATTGTGAGAGAAGGTGGTACAGATCCAAGAAGCCCAAAGGTTAAATTCAATCTTCTGAATGTTAGGATTAAATTATATTTAAAATGTAAAGTAGCAGTTATGCAGATTATGTAATGACTTTTATAATTAGCACTTAAGTATAGAGCCATTATCACTTCAAAATTCTGTCATCTTCAAGATCATATTATATATTCAAAAAATAGATTACTTATTCATACTTTCAGTCCCTTTTTCTTCTACCTTGTTATTTCATTATATTTTATACCAGTACTTAGTTTTCTTTTCTTCTTACATTAATAAAGCAGCCATAATTTCCAATGATTACAAGGCACACTTCAAGTTAAACCTCACCTGTTTTTCAAATCCTTCACCTTCTTTGATGCCTTTTCCCAACCATTTTAGCTCACCATTCACTCATTCATTCAACATTAAGCAGCTTCTATTTGCCATGCACTGTATGAAGTGCCTAGGATGTGGAAATGCCTAATACACAGACCCTGACCTCAAGGAACTCGGTCTACTAGGAAATAGACATGAAAAGGATTCATCCCCAAATTGAGATCCTACCTCCTAGTGGGCTGAAGATAAAGAAAATCAAACAACTGCTACGTGAGATGAGAGCTACAATGAATTCCTGGCCTTCTTCTTTAAAAAAATAAAAAAATATTTTTAATTATTATAGATTCCCTGGCCTTCCACTTTAAGTGGCCCTTGATGTTGTTTCTTAAGTGTCCCTAGATCAATTTTCTCTTCAAGTTTCCACAGTAACTGTTTCAAACTTTCTCCCCTTTCCTAAATTTCCCAACCCTCTATCCTTTTCTTCACTTGAGGCATGGGCCATTATCTGCATCAAAAAAATACAGCCCCTTTGTCAGTCTCCTCAACTTCATTTACCAACCTACCCACACCTTTGTCTCTTTCCATTTCTTCTATAGCAATAACACATACCTCTCTCTAAGGTGAATATTTTCATCACGATTCTATATTCTACATAATCCCTATTTCTGAGTAACTGAACACTGCTATACTATGGACATTTGTTTTGCCTATCTTCCCTTTACCATCAGAATTTAACATGCTATAGTCATTCTCATCCCAAAATTAAAATTCCTTGATTCTAATCTTTAGTTCCCACTTCATTCTTTTCCCAGCTAGCTGTGTACACTCTGCCTCTATTTCCTTACCTTCTACTCACTGCTCAGTTCACTACAATCTGGCTTTTACCAACCACTCTTCTGAAACTGTCCTTGCTGCTAAGTGCAAACAGCTATTTCAGTCCTTTTGCGTGTGTGTTTCTTTGAAAACCTGAACTCCAGGGCTCAAGTTGATCCTCCCGCCTCAGCTTCCCAAGTAGCTGGTATTCCAGGTGTCGGTCCTTAGCTTACTTGTTCTCTTGGCAGCCTTTATCACCCCTAACTATGTGCTTCTTCTTCCAGCACTTCTCCCTTGACTTCTGTGACTCCATGCTTTCATCCTATCTTGCTGGCTTTACTTAGTTTCCTTCACACACTCAGCTGCCTCTGTTCAACCTTTAAATGTTGACGTTCCAAGGGTTCTCTCTTTGGTCCCCATCTCAATCTTCATAACCTTCATTCTCATCTTTTTGACATGCTGATAACTTTCAAGTCTGTATTTACATACCTGGCATTAGGTATCTCTACCAGAATATCTCCCAGGGACCTCATATTCAATATGCCAAGATAGTCTTCACAATCCCCTTGTATTTGCTCTCCTTTCTTCCTGGAACATTCTGCCCTCAGATATTGACATGATTGGCTCCTTTGTGTCATTTGGGTCTCAGTTCAAAGGTTACCTTCCCAGAGGCTCTCCCCTAACTACCTCCTCTAATTTGTCCTTCACAGCAAGCCACAGTCCAGCATCATTTTATCTTAATACTTACAACTACGTGAAGTTATTTTATCTATTTATGGCATGTTTTTCACTACCAAAATGAAAGCGTCATGAGAACAGAGTGTCTATCTTGACCACTGTTGTATTACTACAGTGCCTGACATGTAGTAAATCTCAAGAAATACTAACTGAATGAATAAAAACTATCAAATTATGAACCTTGGAAATAAAGCAAAAGAAGCCAGAGAGGCTACACATTGTATGATCCCATTTATATGAAATGTCCAGAATATACAAATCTGTAGAGAGGGAAATAGATTAGTGGTTGCATAGGGCTGGGGAGGTTGGGGTAATTACGTATGACTGCTAGTAAGTACAAGGTTTCTTTCTGGAGTGATGAAAATGTTCTGTAATTAGTGGCGATGGTGTACAACTCTGTGAACATACTCAAAACCACTGAATTGTACACTTTAAATGAGTTGTATATGTGAATTATGTTTCAGTAAAGCTGTTACAAAATAACAAAACTCCCAAATTTACTCCAGACCTGCCCCATCTCCTGTACTCCTCCAGTGAATAACACAACCCTTTACCAGCTGCCCAACCTAGGAATCTGAGCCATCCTAACATTCCTCTCTGCCCTGCCTCCCTTCCCCACAACCGTCACTTCAGATTGACCTGATCAGTTATAAAATCCTGAAGATTTCACTTCTATACTCTCTCAAACCACTCATTTCACTCATTACAGGCTCTTATTGCTTAGCCTTGGATTATTTCAACTACATCCTACTGGATCCCCTCCACTTAACCCATCCTTTTATTCATCTGCTACCTGCTGCCAGGAGTGACCTTCCTATAACATAACTCCTACAATATCCCATGCTTGCTTAAAATTCTTTGTGGGCTCCCTATAATTGACTCAATAAAGACCCAAACTCCTTAATATGTATACGAGGTGCTTCATAAAGCAGACCTCGATAGCCTGTTCCACCTCATCTGCTAACCTTTTAGCTGTAGCCATGAGGAATCGGGCCACAAGCTGTGACCACTCTGACTTTCCCAAGTGCCACTTTCTCTACTTTCTCTGCCTGGAACATCCTGGCCCTTACATTGTCTTTAATTCCTACTCATTCTTTAGGACTCAGTCCAAGTATCACATTTTGCAGGATATATGAGATATCATTCTCTTCTCCTCAATCTGTTAAAAATCCCTTTTCCATACTTTCACAGTGCTCAGTGCAATGCCTACCTGGGCTCTTATATTAGCTATCACTTACTAAGCACCTACCATGATCTTTACTCAAATGTTGTTATATTATTTTCATATGAGGCAGTGGGTTCAGTGAAGGTTGTTGTCCTAATAAGTGGTAAAGTAGGCGCTGGACTTCAGGTCTGCCTCCAAAGTAATGGTCTCCTATTATTCCAAAGTCTCTCCAGTACTTTCCACTTTGCACTGTAATTCCCTCCAATTGGCGAAAGCAATTAATTCAGCCCTCTGTCTTATTTGTATCCCCACGCGGTGCTTGACACTTGCTCAGTACTGAACACAAGAAGAGATGACAGGTGTGAACTAAGCAGAAGGAAACTCGGGCTATGTCTCAAGCAGGTGCTCAATGAAGCCTTTTGAATGAATGTGTAAAGGAGATACTTTCTACCTCTTGGAAAATGTATACATTCATGTGGTGCCAACTAATATCTAACAATAAAAATATGTTGTGGATTTGAATTGTTTCTCTATAGGAGTTCAAGTTCCCCACAGTTATTATCTCTCCTTAAGCAGCATTCCAGAATGCTGAAGGCCATCTCCACCGAGTCTCCTATGGTCAATCAATGGCTGAGTTTTTTGTCTCTAAAACCTCTGCACTTTCTCCTCTCCAACTTCTCACTTTCCTACTTCTGTTTGAGTCTGAGCTTAGAAGGCCGAAACTCATAGCAAATCCCTAATTTATCTTCTCTTTCACTTCCTGGCACAGGTCAAGTCCTAGAGGTATTAAGAAATAGATTTGGTTCTTCCTTGCACGGTTACAGCCTCATTCAGGTCCTCCTCTCAGCCTGTCACTCAAAAGCATTACTGGTTCCCTCATGGCTTGCCCTGATGCGCAGAGATCCGTTGTGCTAACTGACAACGCTTTTTAGCGTGTATGAAAGCGCCCAGGGGCCCCCGAAAACTTTCCCCCTCCAACTCCCCTGAAACTGAAGAAAAAGCAAAATCCCATTCGACCTAGCAGGCCCCTTCCGATCAACAGTCCTCCAAACCCCTTGAGCCTGAGAGGCCTGGCCCGCAGCAGGCTGGAGTTGGGGGCGACGGAGGAGGCCAACCTCTCCGGTCACCCCTCCTCGCCTCTCACACAGCCTGTAGCTTCCTTCCCTCTCTCGCAGGTCCCTTACAGGGGTCGGATCAGCAGCTGGTCGCTCTCCTCAGCAGGAATCGCAGACATCCCGGAAGTCTGAGGGCGAAGCGGGAGTGAAGAACAGGTCGCCGGAATCTTTCTAAATTGGAAGTACAGCCACGGGGAAATAAAGAAGGAAAAACCCCATTGACCAAGAGCACAACTTCCGGCATTCGGCAGCCCGCGACATTAGGCACCTCCCCTCGACTTCCGGTCGGAGCGCCGGGCTCGCGAGGTTCCTGCCTGCACAGAGCCCGGGAACCCGAGGCGGGTCGTCAAGACTGCGCCTGCGCCCAGTCTCAGAGGCGGGGCCCGGCGGACGGGGGAGGAGGGCTGGAAAAGCTGGAGCTGGAGTAAGGACTGGAGTAGCTACCCGGGCACCGGCGGCCGGGGCCCTCCGACTCACCCCCGAAGCTCAGGCGGCCCCAGGGATGGGCCCGCAGCAGCGAGGTGAGCTCCTCGGCCCTCGCCCCACCCGGGGCCATGCTCGCGGGCGCCTGGCGGGAAGGCGACCCTGAGGGCGGTGCCCATGGCCGGGACGGATGGGTGGGGTCGTGCGGGAGCCTGCGGGGTCCATGGGGGCCCGCCTTCACTCCCGGGGCGACGCGGGCGGGCGGCGGGGAGGCCGAGGGCCGGGCCGGGGTGAGGAGGGGCCGCCGCCCCTGTGGCGCCGGTGGTCGAACCTGGCCCCGCCGCTCGGGTGCGGGCGCCCGGGGTGGCCGCCTCCGAGCCCGGGCTGGCTTTCCAGGCCGGATCTGCTGAGTCTCGCCCCGGGGGGGAAGGCGAGGCTAAGAGGGCGCTCTCTTTTTGTGCTTGCTCTTTCTCTGCACCGCTTCAGCCGTCTCCCCGCTGTGTCACAGCCTCCGCACCCAGCACGTGTCCGGCACCCCATATTGCGACAAATACGTGTGCACCAGCGGGCGTGTGGGAAGAGCTTTGGAGCCAGCTCTGTTTACATCCAAAACTTGGCCCCATCCGTGCTTAACCTGGTGACCTTGGACAGGTCACTGAATCCCTCGGCGCTTTGGTGTCCTCGTTTGAAAGGGGCTGTCATACTGCAGCCTTGCTGGTCAGTGAGGGTTAGAGGTATCTGTAGCACCTAGCGCTGTGCATGGCACGTGTCATTATTTGGGTGTCACCATCCAAGAAAGTTCAGGTTCATGAAGCATGTCCTCTGCCAGGCTGTGCCCCGCACGAGTGTCCAGCGATGAGTAGCTCTGCCTTTGATGAGCATACAGTTTGGAGAGTGAGCTAGGTCTAAGGAGATCGTAGCAGACTGTGATGCTATGATCAGGGTGTACGCTGCAGCTGCCGGTCCCTTAGCTCAGCCTACAGGTACAAGGAAGGCTTTCTATAGATAGAAGAGAAGTAGCCTGAAATGAGTTTTGAAAGGTGAGAGGTAGCCAAGTGACTAAAAGGTGAAGGGCTTTCCAGGCAGAGGGAGAGCGGGCGCAAAGCGGGGCAGCGTGGAGCATCGCTTTGCGTTCCTGAGAAGTAACGAAGTCCCGGGTTTGTGGAAGATGTGCCTGGAAAGGCAGCCCGGTGGCGGGAGCACGCACCTGGCGCGTCCTGCTGAAGAGCTTTGACCGCAGCCTCTGGCTCGGGGGAGCCAGTGAAAGAGTTTGAGAGGCTAATGGCATCAGATTTATGTTTGAAAGAAATCATTTTAATCATTTTGGCTGAAGTGTGTTGGTAGATTTAGAGGGGTAGGGAGTCCAGTAGGACAAGGTCTGTCATCATGGAGTATTATCTTCAGGTTTGCGAATTCCTTAAGTTGTCTGCCAGACTGTGTGTGTGTGCGCATTGTTACAGGCTGAGCTTCCATCCCTTTCATCAGACACTAAAAGAAGTTGTAAATAACAATAGTCTAGTGATGATGTGGGCCCTGCCAGAGAGCAGGTGGAGTATTCAGTGGGTCCAGGTGCTCGATTAGCTGAAGGACAGCCAGGAATGGGCGATTTCCTGGTTTCTACCAGCAATTATATAATTTCCTGAGAGAGAGAGGAGAGGAACAGATCCGGAGGGGAGGATGAAGGGATCAGTTTGAGGTATTTTTGCATTTGATCAACCTGTGGAACATCCAAGTGACATTCAATATCATTGGCCTCATTTTTATGCATGAATAATTTTGAGGCAAGAATCATTTGCTTTAAAACATGCATCAAAATAGCAGCAGATATCAAAGCATTTAATAAATGCTTCTTTTTCCTAAGCTCCTGATTGATGATGAAAAGAAAGTCTTAAAGAGTTGCAAAGGCATTGTAGTACAGTGTAGTGACTGTTCAAATTATTCTAGCGTTCTAGGGATTTGAGGAGATGCTTCAGGCTTCCACTAACAATAGAATCAAATTTTATTTTAAAATCATGTTTAAAATTGGTTTATATATATATAAATTATATGTTTACATATGCTTAAATATGTTATACACCAACATTGTAACCCCCATCAGAGACCATTAACATGGTGCTTTTGCTGCTAGGTTAACCCAGTTTTGTGCAGACCTTGGAATAAGGCTCTCTTGCCGAGAAGCATGCTGGTGTGGTAAGGTTGTCCTTTGCAACAACTCATCCAGTCTCTTTCTTTTTACTTTATCCTATGGAGTTGGTTACCTACCTGGCATGCAGAGTCATTATTATTTTATTTTTTGTGGAGATGGGGTCTTGCTGTGGTGCCCAGGTTGGTCTCAAACTCCTGATTCTCCTGCCTTGTGCTGGGATTACAGGCATGAGCCACCATGCCCAGCCCAGAGTCTTTTTTTTTTTTTTAAACAAAAATCTGATCTTGTCACTGAATTGCTTTTTAAAAGCCTCCAGAGTCTTCCTGTTAAACTCCAGATAAAGGCTACACTGTTATGGTGGCCTGCCAGGCCTTCTGCAGATCTTTGTCCTCGGCCACCCTCCTCTCCTGCTCCCGCTCCAGCCAGAGTGGCCTTTTGCTGTCCCTTGCATCAGCATGCTCCCTCGCTCGGGACCTTCACACTAGCCGTACTCTCCACCTGCAGTGCATTTCCCCTGCCTCTATATATGGCTTCAACTTCATTCAGGTCTCCTTAAATCTCGTTTCCTCAGAGCATCTTTTTCTATCTGAAATACTCACCCCTTCCTTCAGACCCTCTGTATCTCCTTAACTTGCATTAGTTTTCTTCATAGCAATGATTGTTCCCTAAAACTATGCTTTATATTTGTTTTTCTTGCTGGTCTTTCTACTTCCTCTAAAGATAAGCTCCCTGAGGTCAGGGCCTCTGTCTGTTTTGTTCAGTCATGTATCCCTAGCACCTAGTAGGTGTTCACTGACTATTCAGGAATGAATGAAACAATCAGATTCTCATGCCCCTCCCCCCAAATAAAGCAAATATATCAGAGGAAATTGGATGGTGAGGCTGATTCAAAAGCTTGGGCTCAGGAGTCAGACCGGGATCAGTGGCCTAAGGTCATCCAGTCGTAAGCGGGCTCAGAGTGGGGTCTCCCAGTGTGATGAGAGTCTGAGTTGGAGCAGGGGCTTTCATTCACTGCCCCATGACTTACTCATTCCTTTTTCTTCACCAGGTACATTGTTTCTCTGAAGAGAATTGGCCATATCAGAATGAAAAGAAGCTCTCCGTGTAGACTGCTGTCTCTGGAACCTTTGGAGACAATAAAATAGTGTTCGATTCTCTAGTAAGCAGATTTCCTTGTTCCCTCTGTAGAATTCAATTTTCAGTAAAAATTGGTTAGGTTATCTTATTCATAAATCCTCCTGAAAGCTGGGTCACAGCTCCCCCATCTGTCAAAGGCAGGTTATAACCCACCCTCTGTAAACCCCTTGAGGGTGGGGCGTAGGGCCCCAGCGCAGTGCGTGGCACATAGTAGGCCCTTACAAAACACCAGTAGAGGAAACGAATCTGTCACAGGTTGCCGGAGGATGGAATGAGACGATATAACTGTATTTGGAAGTTCTGTGAACTATGCAACATCATGCAGGTTAATTTTCCAAATATATATACTCCTGTGAGATGGGCAAGGATGAATCTTTATGTTTCCAAGGCATTCATTATTAATTTAAAAAAAGACATAGGCAGCACAGACGGTGGGAAACTTAAGGTCGTCTCCATACCTGTCCTTACTGGAGCCGGGATGTGAGGAGCTAGTACCTAGGAATGTTTTTATGTCAGCATTTACTTAAAGATATTTCAAGATTTCAAGAAAAATGCACATTCTGAACGGTGTGTATGTCTTTTATTCTTAGCCCAACTAAGTACAGAATGTGAATCTGAGACTCAGTATCTCAACTGATAAACCAGTGAATGCAGCCTACATTTTGCGAAAATCTTGAATCAAACAGAAGGCACTTGAATTTTTTGAGAACTAGATGACATTATGTCTGATACTTATGAGAAAAATGCTTTTCACACCTCTGTATAGGACAAGAAGGTTTCTGCTTTCTTGGTTGGCTGGGTTAGCTTCTTGTAATTTAATAGGAAAGAAAGAATGAAAAAGAATAGTATCCACGGGAAAATATTTATGTTTTAAGTCAAAGGAGTACACTCATGGAACTGGAAGGAATTGATGTTTTTCATTCCTATTATATATAAAGTGATTTAAAGCTGCTTTTTTTTGATGTAACTGTCACCAACATTTGTACTTTCAGGGGATCTTCTCTGGATCAAGCTATGGTGAAAAATGTTTCGGAAAGGCAAAAAACGACACAGCAGTAGCAGTTCCCAAAGTAGTGAAATCAGTACTAAGAGCAAGGTAGGGGGAATGAGTTTGGAGCAGAATCATAAGGCAATGAGAATTTTATTTGTTCTAACTGATACTGCATGGAGGATACTAACCATGGCAGACCTCCTGATAGTCTTCAAACTAGGTGTGTTTTAACGTTCAGTTTTTGCGCTACAGATACATTCTGTGCCTGGTTTATTTTATTTTGTTTTGGTAGATTTTCTGAAATTCTTAAATTCATTAAACTGGATGGGACACAATCTATGAATGCTCTCATTGAAACAAGTACTGCTTTTAAAACTTTTCAAATATAGAAATTGCAGACATTAAGGGGCTAAATCTCTTGAATTCTAGGGTTTGTAGTATACATACTACATTTACTTAGGAGTGAGATTGGCAAATAGCTGTACACCAGAGACTTTTGAATGTTATTTGAAGGTATGCATGGATTTAATTGATGCAAAACAAACCTTTGAGGATCTATTCAGCTGGCCTCTCTGGTCTCCTATTCAAAGGA